TAGAACTTGTGAGAATGTTTTGCAAGATAGGCTAGAGTTTTCTTGGTGAGGTTAGAGATGAACTTCTGTTGAGTGACCCAATTCGGGGTTTTGATTCCTTGTTCTGTAAACTTCAACATCTGAATGAATTAAATCTCATCTATTTTTCTATTACTTTTCAAATATTGTGTGCCAATTTTTATATAAGTTTAGTCACGCTTTTCTTATGTAATTATGTCATGCATTGTTTTGTCATTCTAATTATTTTACAAATTGTCTTTTACTGTAATATTGTCAAATTGATATATTGTCGATTTTAGATAACTTGTAATAATAATATTATCTGAGCCAACACAGAGATTTAATTTATTCGATTATTTTATTTTGTGAATCAAAACTTGAATTGATGAACGTTGGTGAACGAAGCATTAGGGATTCTCGACACCTTACCGTTTTCTTCATACAAATTTTCTCCTTTTTATTTTATTTGCAACAAAAATCTCAAAAACTCTTATTTTTCTTTAATTCACTTTTCTCTAACGCTCTTATTCTGTTAATCATTCTTGTTATTTTGTTATCTCTCTATGGATACGATCGCCCTTCTGTGCTACAATTGACTGCTTGTGAATATCACTTTTGGGCGTTAATCAAATTTTGGCGTCGTTGCCGGAGAGGTGCTACTAGTAAGATTGATCAGTAGATTTTGAGCCAAAGAGGTTAGTATATTTTTTTTTTTTACTTAATTTCTCTTTCTTGATTTGTATGATCTGTTTTTAGCTCGTATTTGTCAAAAAAAAAAAACAAAAAAAAAAAAAAAATTTGCTTCGCGAAAAGTTTATCTTGTTATCGTTTATATTTTGCTGGAAGTGTTGCTGATTTGATTTAATATTTATTTTTATTATATTATATATATATATATTGTTGTTTTGCTGTACCGTGTACGTGTCTTTAGTTAAAAAAAAAAAAAACTAATTGTGATTTGATTGCTGTATTCATTTGTTTCTTACTTTGCAAAGTTCTCACGTCTTCATTTTTTTCCGTACTCTTGTTACTAAAAAAAAAAAACCTCTCACACTTTTAAGATTTGTGTTTTAGAATTGATTGTGATTTGATTTTGTAATTTTTTATTTTTGATAAATTAAGATTTTATTTTGTTTCCTCATTTGTATATTTTAATTGTTGTCTAATTTAATTTTTCCTTTTATAGTTTCATTAATTTTTAGGATTATAATTAAGATGGTAATTAATTGACTAATTTAGATTCCTAATCTAGGATTTTCATAATTTGGTAGATCTAGGCTTTTGACCTTAGGAATAGTTTACATTAATTAGATTACATTTCATAATTTACTCAATAAAATTTAATAATTGATTTTGAGAATAATTGTGTGGTTACATGGAAAGTATAATCCGAGGGAGTTCTGTCTAGGAAAGTTGGTACTTAAGTGGGCCTCACCCCACCAATCTTTCCTGGGAACGTTGCTCTGTCTAGGAGACTATTCATTGAGCCAAGAGCTATAGAATTTCCTAGGAGCACTCTCGGTGGTTACAATTTACGTTACTATATAATTATTTTCTTTTTGATTAAAAATAAAAAACAAAAACAAAAAAAATAAAAAAAGAGCCGCTTAGGGTGAATGCATCGATATAGAAACGAACTAGGGAGATTTGCTCAACGTCCAGATTTAGAAACCCTTAGTGAAATTCTATCCGACTCATCTTCTACGTCTCTGTCTTCGCACTCGTCGTTGGAATTCTCATTTCAAAATCTATTCGCAATGGCACGACACGAGGAAGTTCAGCAGAGGACGTTGCAAGATTACTTGCACCCAATGTGTACGGCCACCCTATCTTGCATCATGTTCCCGCCGAATGCACCGCCTACGGATTTTAAGCCGGGCATGATTGCACTTCTCCCAACCTTTCACGGATTAGAGAATGAGAATCCATATGTACACATTTGAGAGTTTGAAGAGGTGGTGGCCACCTTTCACAGCCGTACTGAGGCCGCAAACACTGTCAGATTAAAGTTTTTCCCTTTCTTTCTGAAGGACAAGGCCAAAAGCTGGTTGTATTCTCTTAGGCCAAGGTCTATTGGTACGTGGGAAGAAATGACGACGACATTCTTCAACAAGTATTTCCCACACCATAAGACCAACAATTTGAAACGACAGATCTCAAATTTTACTCAGAAAAACGAAACGCTCTATCAAGCTTGGGAGCGTTTTAAAGATCTGTTAAATCTATGTCCCCACCATGGATATGAAAGTTGGCGCCTCGTAAGCTATTTCTACGATGGACTCACAATCCGAGAGCGCCAATTTGTTGAGATGATGTGCAATGGAGATTTTCTCCAAAAGGATCCTGACGAAGCTATCGAGTACCTGAATGAGTTAGCTGAGAAAACTCATACTTGGACTGGGCCGAGTGCTACTGAGAGCACCAGTAGGTCCCGACCAGTTGGAGTTTATCAATTAAGGGAAGAGGACAACCTCAAGGCCCAAGTTGAAGCTTTGACGAAGCAAATCGAGGCCCTCAAAAGTAAAGATAGTAAACCCCACATGGTGGCAAGGACAGAGGCACATGAGCCTTGTTTAGTTTGTGGTGGAATGGGCCATCTTACTCAGGATTGCCACACTTTAAGTGAAATGAGAGGGGTATATGAGGAGCAGTGCAATGCATTGGGCACATACAAGAAGCCTTACGGACCTTTCTCAGAATCTTACAATCCTGGTTGGAAAAACCACCTGAACTTTAGTTGGCGAGATTCAAACCAACAAGCACAATCATCTGGAGGGCAATGGAGATCAGAGCAACAATCTCAACCGCCAAGGACATATTTTGCGCCTCAGAATAACATGCAGCCGAAAG